CTGACCAGGCCGCCTTTATATTGGTCACTGAAATTTCCCCCCCCCCCTCCACTTTCCGCGTCAGGGATTTGTTGAAAATCGGTGGCGCCAAGTAACGAGTCGGCAAATCGATAAACTAGATTATGTGCAGGGGGCGCGCGCCTTCTCAGTCTTCTTCACGGCCTGTATCAGAACGTTCGGATGTTCAGGGGGTGAAGAAGGGAGTAGCCACATGCCTCGCAGTTTCGGGATTTGCCCTGAATTGCTTCCTCTGTTATCGGAAAGTTTCGTGTCATCGCCCCACTGATCCTGCACTACAATTCTGTGGGGAAATCGATTCCCACTGATCGCACAGTCCAGTGGTTCCGCGGTTCAGTGGCTAGCGTCAGCCGTCTTGACAAGTGACAGTCGTGTAGCGTTACGAGCGCATGTCGCCAGTGTTTTGTTTGCCCTTCGCTCAGTACGTAGGCAGATCGTTTCACGATGATGGGCAGAGATGGCGTTGGTGGCGTACGACATGAAGCTCAGAACCCGTTACTTCGCCGCAGAGCCCCTCTGTGCAGTGCAGACCAGATATTCAAGTCCCGCCGTTCTGAGACTTTTCTGACCGGACAGCCGTCTCCTAGTAGCGACGCAACTCGCACTACACTACCCAGTCGTCCTTGGGGTGGTTCTGCAACCGGTCACAAATATGCACTAGCCGCTCTGCAGGGAGTGTCGCGCCTAACGGAGGTTTGGAACCTAACATGCGGCCCGTGACCCGTGTGTGCTGTTGGACACATGATATGACAACGCTCCCGTCATCTTTTCGACAACAGTAAACCTTACAATTTGATACAGTGTTGTAAAACGAGTCCATGCGCCTGCAATTGGCTTCCCCAGGAACTTTTGGGTCAGTCGTGCTGTGCTAATGATTCTTCGGAACCCGAAAGGCGCCGTTCTACGTCAGCAGTCTCATAGCGGCGTGGGACTCGTATCCTAGCAACGAGGCCAGCCAACCGGATAATAAGGCCGTGGCGTCAAGCACAGCCAACGGGTGTCTCCGTATGACGATGATGAGGGGCGAAGCCAGTGAAGAAGGCCCCCAATACGAGAGCAAAGCTCTGCCCTTTGGGGGAATTTTGCTGTGTGGTTTTTTCTTTGTTTGGCGACACTTGCCATCCCCTTACGTAATCGCACTGCAGAGGGCGAAGATGTTCGTTCATTAGCAGGCTCCACTGTCCTCAGGTCCTCCGCACAGGACTAGGCCGCGTGGTGAATCAGCCGCTCCTATGTGAACAATGTTGTGGAGCTGATCCGAAGGCCACGCACTGCCTACGCGATACTGCCTGCCTGTTGCAGTCAGCGCCTACCATGTTGCCCATTCGGAGCCCCCAAACCGTAGCAAGTTATAAGATCATCGCCTTCGCAACAAAACCTAAAATCTTTGTCCGTATTTGAGTTTCATTTCTTCTGTAAAGGTCGCACGCTGACATTTTGTGCTTCGAAGAAAGTGAAATCTCAGCTCAAGGCTGTGCACAGGCGTTTGTCTGTAACAGTGACCGCTCGCTGATTGGCAGCAGTTGGGCGGTGGCGAGGGCCCCAGAGTGAGACATTTAAGGGCTTTGGCATTCTTGCCTGCCGCATCTCGCAGACACACAGAGCCACCTGGGATCCGAGCTTTGAGTAGACGTTCAGAGTCGCAAGGGTCAACATGGCGACGAGTGAAAGTAGTACAAGGTGACACGATCTGCGAGCCGCTGACATGTCAGTGAGATAGTCGTGGTCTGTCCTGCATTTATGGGGGGGGGGGTGGATAAAACCTTCTGCTTTTGGTCCTACAGAGTATGGGTACACGGTTAGCGTTTTTTTTAACAAAATTTGAAATGTGTGCTCTTTGGAGAACAGCGTTGTTCACGCCGCGTCATAGACGCTGTTGTTGCAAGGAGGCCATTACTTAATCCGAGGTAATTGTGCGACAGACATGGACGGGGTCACAAGGTGTTATTTGCTCTCGCTAAACATCAAGTCGCCTAAAATGCGTGTGTTCGATTAACCCTTTGAAGCCGAAGATCGTCTGAATATTATTTATGAATTCAGTCCGTACCGCGAAGAAAACACTACACCTCACCATTACGAAAATCAGCTGGTTAACCCTTTGAAGCCGAAGCTCGTCTTCATAATATTTACGAATCCAGACCGTACCGCGAAGAAAACACTTCACTTAACCATTAGAAGTCGAATCAGGCGGTACCACATAAGATTTAACAAAGAACATCCCGGTCGAAGCCTTAAACGTCGCGCAGAATCAGTTTCGCCAACATAATCTTTTTCTCCAAAACTTATAGCGCGTCATCACCGTGTAGACGTTGGTTAATATTCGAAGAACAAAGAGTTGTTGTTGTTGTCTACATGAATATGAACAACAATTGCGCCTTATTCTCCGCACGAGGTCTCGTGTGGTCGCTGATCCATGGCTGCTTTCCTTTCGACACGGGGTGTTTCTAGCTGCCTGTCGATTCACGTCTTGGCCTCTAGTAAGAACAATCAAACGCTGTGCTGTTGAATGCATAACTAGGAAGGTCGCTCGACCCTCGTTTCCAGGAGGCCGTGATCATTCCACACGGCTTGCGCTCAGTTCCTGTCCCGTGGCCAAGTTGCCTGCCGCCCGGAAAACCTTAATTTGTTTCCGGTTGTGCGTTTTATTACTGGAAAGTAGACTTGGTGTTTGTGAAGAATGCATGAGTTGATCGAAGGCGTAAATGCTTTTAAATGGGCGGATTGACAGGATGAAGATCCAGATAGTGTGAAATGCATACGGCATTTGAGTGTCAGAACAAGAGCGACTGATGGGGAGGTTTGGGAACGAGGAATTCTCGCACAGAAAATTGTCCATGTCGGCCCCCCAGTTTACATGAAGTGCCTTGCACTCGATCTCTTTTAAAAGAATCGTTCATGCGACATGAAACAGAAGAGGGTTCATCGATATCTACGAAACTCTTCCGAAATAAGCGAGACCTTCGATGTGTGCAAAGTGGCGAGAAAACTTAATTGCCATGGCAACGGCATCTCTTCGGTCAGTAGTAACTTCACTTCCGGTACATTGACACACCGGAAGTTCCGGTATCGTCAAGGGAACTGGTCGCTCCAAGGCAACCTGCAAACAGAACTTCGAAGTTTCTATCTTTTGCTATAAAATGGCTGGGGTCCCCATAATGCCGAGGCTCCGCCCACAGCCAGTGTCTGCTCCAGAAGCCTTGAGTCCGCTTGTCGAACGCTCTGTTCATTCTTTCCCTCGCTTCACGGTAATCGTTTTAGTCATTCCGAAACGTTGGCACACGCTCACAGTTAATAATCCAGGAGTGTGTCGAAGCGAACGGTAACCATAGCAACAGCCAGTCTGCCCGAGTATTCGATTTTTTAACGATGTGCGTATGATGGGCTGTACCTTTGACGGTGCCTCTCTGTGTGTCCGCAGGCCAGCAGTTCTACTTCACGAACTCGCAGCAGCCCGCCTACCTCTCCGGATTCCAACAGCCGCAGTACGAGGACTTCTTCAAGCCCCAGAGCTCGTACGAGCCGTCCCCGTTCCAGCTGCCGGTAAAGGACTTCCCCTCAGAACCTGATGACCTGGGCCTCAGCACGTTTGTGGACCAGAACCTGGAGATCGACCAGAGACCCACAGAGGACACCAAGCCGATCTCCAGACCCAGGCAGAAGGATCGGACAGGAGACGCGATTCTAAAGAGAAAGCCGGGGACACGGCCTCAGGCCGGATCACGAAACAACTTCCTGTTGCCTCGAGGCCAGGCGGACACGTCGCCTAGCATTACGAGGAGGCCCCAGACGCAGTCCCCCAGCACAGGCTCGACACGGGTCCGCGGTCGGTTCTCGCCTACCACAAAGGCACCCAGTCAGGTGCGGCAGTTCAACATTAGACCCAGCAAAGTGCCCTTTACGCCCAGACGACCTCTCCACCGCTCGCCCTCCTCAGAAGCCGGCGAGCCTTACAGTCTCAAGGACTCCGTGCGCCCAGAGGACACTGAGAACCAGAAACTCTCGGGTTCTGAGGCTGTCATCCGCGATGAAGAAAATTCCACTTTAATCGAGGACTCGGACGAGCAGGAAAACACAACTTATCCTGTGACGGGACACATGGAAACCACTGACTTTGAAGATGTGACGGCCACGTTGCACGAAGAGCCTACCACAGTTCTAGAAGAAAGTGGAACGCCCGAAGAACCTGTCCAGAACGAGAACAATACCAGCGTTTTTGAGGTCTTGACAATGAACCCAGGACACACATTAGTCGAGGAAGACAATTTTCGTGGTTTTGTTGACAGTGTTGTGATTGATGCAACTGACGTCCCGCAGACTTCCACTGAATCGGAAGACATGACGACGGGGCCGGGGGATCTCTTGCGGACCACCTTGAAACCACTAGATATTTCTTTGGAATCCACACAGAAACCAGTAGACGTTGCCATGGTAACCACATTGAATTCTGAACCACTGGATGCTTCCAGAGTAACCACCCAGGGCTCCAGACCTTTGGCCATTTCCGTGGTAACTACTGCAAGCCCCAAACCACTGGGTGTCTCAATTGTAACCACCAAGAGCGTGATAAACGGCACAATGTTTGCAGTTCCGTCGACATACTCGGTTGCTCCGCCAGTCCTGGAACAGATGGCGACTCCTGTACCAGCCAAAGAGCAGCCAGTGTTGACAGACACGACGGAGAGCTGGGTGGTGGTCGCGTCAGTACAGACCAGCAGGAGTGTGTCAGGTGCTAGATTTCTGCCATCAAGCGCAGTCAAGCAGGAGGAGATACCAAAATCCTTGTCAGCCAAGACTTCGCCCAGTGAGACTAAACAGAGCTTGAAGTCGGCACACAGCACAGAGAGCATTATTGACAAGCTGTATGTTGTGGAATCTGAGCTGTCCAGCGGTATATTGACCGGAGGCTTCAGACCAGAGGGCAAGAAGCTGCAGCTGGAAGTGCTGACTGACATGACAGACACCACCTCTGTGCCAGCCTCCACAACCTACAAGTCGCCCGTGTTTATTCGGAAGTTCTCGCCCCACTCCGGCAGAACAACGCCAAAACCAAACAAACTTGCCGCCGTCTTTGACAGCATTCCGATGGATGACTTATCGCATTTACTTCCCCCAGGATTCAAACAGAGGTCTCCAGCAAGTCGTCGCACCACCACACCCGCCACAAAACATGTTGACCCACTTGACTACCCTCAAGGCGATGAACCTGTGAAGCCCAATGGCACCAGCGCCAGATCATCTGGGCTCAGCAGCGTCACAAACAAAGTCAGATTGCAGGGTTCCAGCTCAGTAGCAAAACCACCCAAAAAGCTGGAGGATCTTTTCAGCAGTCAGTGCTTTCCTGCCTCCAGGGTTCAAACAGCCAACAGAAGAGCCGTCCTCGACAACAGTGAAACCCGGTGGTGTAGATGGACTTCTCAGCAAGGCACGACCAGTGGATGTCAGTGCTTTCCTGCCTCCAGGGTTCAAACAGCCAACAGAGGAACTAACCTCTACAACAGCGAAGCCCAGTGGCTTGGAGAGATTATTAAGCAAAACACAGCCTGTAAATATTAGTGCGTTCTTGCCACCTGGGTTCAGACTGCCGGCCGACGAGTCGACCTCGACGTCTGCGAAGCCCAGCAGTGTGGAGGGATTGTTGATCAAGGCACGACCAGTAGACGTCAGTGGTTTCCTGCCACCTGGCTTCAAACTGAAGACTACAACTGAGAAATCTGTCCTGCATTCTCTTCTTGGTAAAGTGGAAGGGCTCAGAGATAATGGCACGTCGGTCCCACATGGCCTCAGGAATGAGAACTCCTCGGCCACCGAAGCAACAACGCCCGCTAATGCGTTCAGAGTAAAGTTCCCCACACCACGATCAGGTGCGAGTCGCAAACTCCTAGTACCCTCGCCCAAGCCTGTCCAGGGACCAGGCATTCCAAAACCTAAAATCAGCACAGGGTGGCCCACAAGGTAAGATCTTACTAACTCGTAACTTCTAAAGCTGTCACTCACACCTTTTATGTTTCACTTATTGAGCTGAAATGTAATTATGTTTCTTCTGGAGAGCTATTGCCTCTGGCAATATAATTTAATTTGTTCAGTGAATGATACAGTGCTTGAGTGCTCATCAGCAGCTTTGCCTTAGGAAATCCCCATAACCCAGCGACAAGAATTGTTGAAGCCTCTTTCTGATTTTTCACACATACAAACCAAAGACATCTCAGATGTATAACAGGTTGCGGCCAATTTGAGACTTACTCTAAATAATGCTGTCTGAATTTGTAGCAGCAGGGCAAGTTTAGAATGCGTCATCAAGAAACACCTGTTGTCATGTGACCTTCACACTGTCGAGGGAATGCACAGAATCTTGATCAGCCAGCTTAATAAATTCTGCAACTGTTCTCATTGGCCTCTGGCCTTTGTGCCTGGAAATGGACCGTAACCAACGAGCTTGTTCGTTAGCAGCCATACCATTCCTCTGTTTCGATTTCCGCGGAAACTGTCTGAAGCTTATTAAATGTGCAGTTACACATTTAGATTGAAGTTTCACCCAATAATTTATTCCAGGTGAGGTGGGACGTGGTTTTATCTAGCCAATATAATGAAATTATAATATCAGAATTGTTAATGAAAGCTTCTAAAATGTGGTCAGATTTAAGTATTGAAGCTTGAACTGAAATTTCAAATCACTTGGGAATAGTATGACTTAACCTTCAAATTTGCCCTTTTTTTAATATTTATTTTTATGGAAAACTGTAGAATTAACTAAGATTTTGCATGTAACAGTTCTGTTCAGAATATTTTACTGTCTTGTCTGCTTTCTTTTCCTGAAAGTAACTGGGCATTAAAATATGTGAAACTGTGTTGTACCTGAGGAACGTTTGGTAAAAAGAGGGCTGATACTAGCCTCTTTTATCAATTGTTGTTCTGGAACCTGTTGTAGGGCCACCACTGAGTTTACTGGCTGGCCCACATCTTCCACCACGCCCATTCCCCTCGAGAAGCTGTTGGAGATGGCGAAGACAGCGACGACCACCAGCAGTTCCACAACCAGCACCACGACTAGCACTACCACCACTACCAGCACGACGACCACGTCAACACCGCGTCCGACAACCCCGGGAGTTTGTGCAGAGGACTGTGACATGGCAGGCACTGTGAAGTTGGTGGGGGGTGTCGTGTGGGTGCCAGAGCTGCTGGATCACAACACCGAGGAGTGGCAGCACC